ACATATAGCATTAGTGATAAAATTAATGTCAATTTTTTGTTATTTTCTATACTAATTAATATAAAATATATATTAATTACATCCTTTACTTATGCCCTAAAGTAATCCATTAATAATTGTCAACTCTTCTATCACTCATCAACTAATAATTATAATTACTGGAGTAACTAATTTTATCACTAAAATTAAATGAAATCAATGTCTCTTAAGATTTAATATTTTACTGTTTGTGTAGCCATGACATTATTACGTGTGGCCATAACTATACCAATGGTTATGATCACAAATCAAATAAAATTCTTATGGTTACAAAAAATTTTTAATGAGCTTGTTTAATTTGTGTTTTTTAAGGTAGATATTACAGGTACATTAAATATATTTTTTTACAATTAATTTAAATTGAAGGAATTGAGACGGATTTAATTTATATATTTAATATTTTTTAATATTTTTAAAAAATAAATATATAAAAATATTTTATTTTAATTATTATTTTTATTAGTAAATTTTAAATATTTTATTTTATTTTATTTTTCTTTAAATTATTTAATTAAATAAAAATATTTTCCTTTCATTTTCTCTATTCTTATCTATCCAAACAAGATTAATATCGAATTTTTCTCTTCCCTTCACTTCTCCTTTCTTTTCTTTTCTTCTCCTCCCTTCCCTTTCCTTATTAATTTTTATCCAAACAAACTGTTAACCTTGGATCAGATTTCCACACCTTGAGAGACAATTTTGGCATACTTTAGCTCTCAACCAAGAGAAAAATCTGTATTTGACAAGGTCAGTTATCTCTTCCTCCTTATATTGCTGTGTTCCAAAAATCCGCTGATTTCTTCAGGTCCACTCATCAGTCCACGCCATAGCATACCACACCACCATTTAAAAAAAAAAAAAAAATATATATATATATATTAATATTGTTATTTAATTAGTGTAATACTTATCTATCTAAAAATTCACTTTATAATTAATATTTTCAAAACTTAATCTTTTGATATTAAAATTTAGTTATGTATGTTAATTTTTAAATTGATATAATATTTATAAATCTTTAATAAAAAATTATATTTATTGATATATATTTAATAATGTTAAATTTTACATAATTAACAATCTGATTATGCCTACTAAATTAATTTAAAAATTAACATATATGATCCACGTTAAAAAAGTTCTAATTCAACAATTGACTCGTAATAATATTAACTAAAATATAATGTTTTTACAGATATTCCCCATAAAAAAAATATTGTAAAATACTTTTCATATTTACTGTTAAAAAAAAGTAAAATTCTTTTCCTATTATATAGTTATAAACTATAAAAATAATAATAATTAAAGAAATGAGTAACGCGAAAATTAATGAGACTACCCATTTTGGTGTTACTCGCTTTTCGGGAAAAATTGCATTTCACCTTAAGGCCGTCTCCACACATAATGAAAGAGAAATGAATAAGCCAAACCAAACTAATCTAAAGGAATTCGGCTATATTATATTGATAAGATTAAACAGGTTTAGTATTTCTTTGAACTGATCAGATTTTTCTTCTAGAAAAGTATACTAAAAAACCAAATCAAATTTCGATTAGAAAAGTATAGTAAAAACCAAATCAAACCAAACCAATCCATGAACCTAAGTTTGTTTTTGAAATACCAATCACCTAAGTGGTCAGTAGTAATCTCTTTTATAAGTGGAGCAAAGAAATTTTGGATTTGAATTGTATGATACGTTGGTAAAATAGGTTAAGAAACATAAAAAAATTGTTTTTTATTGTACTAATAAAAAAATAAAATAAAATGTTTGTTCTGGGTAGAAGGTGCAATTGCACCTCAATATTTTCTAATTGAAAGAAATTAGCACCTAAAAAAGGGGAGAAAATAATTGTTATACAATCGATTCAATATATTTTCTAACACTCATGTCAGTTCAATTATTAAAATATAATTAAGTAAAATTAATTCAATCGATTCTTACATTTTATATGCAAGATCGCATCTTTAAATTTGTTTGTCTTTTAATTTCAAATTAAAAAATAGTGATTTTTTAATAAATGTATTGTGTATGTTATTAAGTCAAAATGTGTATTAATTAATGTAAAAAAAAGTTGAAGGAAATTATCACCTCAAAATTTTATTTTAGAGAAATCAACCTAAATTTAATAATTAACATCACATAATTATTTTTTTGTTAAACTATTATACTTGGAGTCTAACATAAAGTTGATGTCAATGTTTTCAACTCAAAGATATTATGGGACAATTTACAGTTGGCCTTGTTTTTCAAATGCAACTTATAATGTTCTAACATTTTAGAGATCGTTAACCTTTTTTAAAACTCTTAAGGGATATTTTAAGTAGTTAGATATTTTAAGTAATTAAGAATTTGAGATTTCAAAATGAAGATTTCAAATTTAAAACTTAAGATCGTTGGTGGAGAGCAAGTAAAAAAAAAGAAGAGCATATTCACATTATCTTTATTATATGGTTCATTATCTAATGTAGTAAAAAAAAGAAGAATTAACATTCTTTAATTCTATTGCAGCAACGTTCCGATTACGATGGTCAAATTGCATTGTTTACTTTCCTTTTCTATTTGTAACGTTACTCACCGGTTAGTTTTAAGAATTAGATTTATTTCTTTCTTTTCTCTACCATGTTGGAATTGTATATATGTATTGCATTTTTTCATAATCAAATCCAGGACCGCCTATTTTCTGCGGTTGATCATGATAAATGGATTAGTAAACGCATATAGTAAACGCATATAATTGTTTCTAATTATCTAGAATTGGTAAAACTAATAATGTTCCTGAGTCCTGGCTTTTGATCAGAACGTTCAAAGGGAACATACTACCCCCTTAGCAATCCTTTCAGTTTACCAGTATTTAATTAAGGGTCCGCATTTACTACGGAGGGTTGATGATTGATAACCATGTCCACCGTATTAAACAAGTTAAAAATAAAAATAAATAAATAAGAAGAAAAGCTAGCGTTGACTCCCAGAGTGCGGGTCACGGCCGACGGTGGACGGTGGTTGGATTTCAAAAGTTGGCTCGCGCCTGCCGGCCGCCAACTTTTGCTCAGCAGGGGGGGACCAGATTTCACGAATATGCTCCCTCAAATTCTTAATAGTACTATATATCCATGGTCTCTCTAGTATCGACCGATAGCAAAGGCCAAAAAAGAAGTCAAAAGGTATCAAACACGTTGCATTCATCATCATGCTCAAC